CTTCCAGTCCCCCCCACCAGCATCCAGGTCTTGGTGGTTTATGTTGAATTGTAAGCAGAAATAGGGAGGCGCGGGGTGCCTAGTGGGGGTAGCTCCAACGTCATGACAGCCACCTCGCTGCCCACCTCATATCTGTGATCTTCCACTCCTCCTCCCACTGACAACAACACCGCATCCCTCACCACTACCGCATGGCAGAGAGACCAGACGCCCAGTTCTTGCACCTCGCCCATCAAGCTCGCCGAGGAGTCCCTCCTCGCCGGCGACGACCCATTCGGCTCTGTCCTCGTCTCCCTCCTCAGGCAAGATCCTGCACCAAGACCGCAACCGCACCGTGACAGGCCGACACGGTGACGGCAAGCCCGACTCGACATACCATCCCGAGATCGAGCTCGCGCGCTGGGCCCAGCAGAACCTCGGCGCCGACGAGCGCGCCGCTTCTGTCGTCTACACCTCGGGCGAGCACTGCGCCATGTGCAGCCTGGCCCACGCCTACTGCGGCCTCGGCAAGATCGTCTTCGTCTCCTCGACCAACCAGTACAGGGCCTGGCTGGCCGAGTTTGGTGCCCCGACGCCCCAGGTCGCAAATCTGGGCATCGCTGATGTCGCGCCGCACATTCCCATAGAGGGGCCGATTGATGGGCTTGTTGATGAGGTGAAGGAGTTGCAGCGTCGGAATTGGCTGGCGAGAGGCGGACAGTAGGCGGCGAGAGCCTCGTCGGAACTTCTAAGGAGGGGCAGTCTGATCATTGAGCTTCTTCGCCGATAGATTTCAAATACAGCATTTCATCAACAATTTCACAACAAGACGCTTCGCTAAATAAACTCCCCAAAACAGAGTACAAGTACAGCCATCATTGCTTTCCTGGGTATCACTACAGTAAATCAAAGACACACTCTACTCCGTCTTGGGCGGCCACTTGACCCGCCTCTCCGCGCGCACGTAGAGGTTGTTCGGCCGGATGAGCTGGAACATGGGGTCGTAGTCCACCGGCCCGTCTTGGGCCAGCGAGAATTTGTAACGCCACAGCAGCTTTGGCAGGAACACCTTGACTTCCTGCAGCGCGAAGTTGAAGCCGATGCACATGCGGGGTCCCACAGCGAAAGGGATGTACGAGGCGTTGGGCCGGTTCTTGACGCGGTCCGTGTCCCAGCGGTCTGGGTCGAAGAGCGTCGGGTTGTCCCAGATCTTGGTGTTGTTGTGGATATGGTGGATGGCCGGGATGACGATGGCATCCCGCGGCAGCTTGTAGCCACCCGGCAGAATCATGTCTACCGAAGCTGTGCGCGCCGGCTGGTAGGACGGGTTGTGGCGGCGCTGCGTCTCCTTGATGTACTTGTCGAGGAACGTGAGCTTGTTCGTGAATTCGGCCGTGACCTGCGTGTCGTCGGAGAAGCCGTGGTCGACGAGCTCCTGTAGCAGCCGCTCCTGCATGCCCGGATACACGACGAGGCCGTAGAGAAGCCACGACAGCAGAGAGCTCGTCGTCGTAAAGCCAGCACCTGTCGCGACAACGAGCGGCTCCATGATGCGTTCGACCGGCAGCTTGTTGCCCTTGGCGTCCTTGGCGCGCAGCACGTAGTCGATCATGTTCTCCGCCTGCAGCGCGGCCTCCTGGAGCTCGAGGTCTTCGGTACCCTTGGCGGCGTTGGCGACCGACTCGCGCATCATGGCCTCGATGCGATCGCGCGCATCACGCAGGCGCTGCGGGTCGCCGAAGGGCAGGTTGCGGTACCAGCTGCCCATGGAGGTGATCTTCTTGTTGAGCTCGAGCGACTGGGCGATGCGCATCACCATCTCGTGGGGCGGCGCGTCGACGGCGGCAAAGTGCTTGAAGTCCATGCCGAGGACCAGCTTGCCGACGGCCTGAGAGCCGAGCTTGAGCATGTAGGGGTAGACGTTCCAGGCCTCGTCGCGGTCGTCGAGCTCGTCAAAGACCTTGAAGGCGTCTTCGACTGTCTTCTGCATCGTTGGCGCGTAGTGACGTACGGCCTTGGGGCCGAGGGCTGGCGGCAGGAACTTGTGCGCGACCTTCCACTCCTCTGTGTTCGTGTCGCCGAGGAAGACGCCGGCCTCCTTGTTCTTGATGGGCTGCAGCGGGTGGCCGTCGATGATGCGCTTGGAGAAAAAGTCGGTCTCGCTGAAGACAATGTTGGCAAGGGTAGGGTCGTTGGTCTGGTAGATTGTGCTTCCAAGGTTGGTCGTCTTGACGAGCGGACCATACTTCTCGAACAGCCGCTGGTGGTTACCCAGATGGTCGGGGTAGACCTCAAAGTAGTTGCCGATGAAGGGCAGGCCCTTGGGACCGGGCACTTCCCGCACAGCCTTGCCGTCGATGGTCATGGCGATGGGACCTTCTGCAGCGAGGATGTCGGCCATGGCTGTGAGCGCCACGTTGTCGGAAACAAAGCCGATGCCTAGAAAAGTCAGTCAAGGACCTTCGGTATCTAGAAGAGGGTGCTATTCTTGGTTACCATTTGGGTCAACGATGGCGAAGTGCGATGCGACGAGATGCTGGAGGCCCTGCTCATCCAGCGCGCTGGAAACCTCAATCTCCTGACTGGTGGAAGGGTCCTCGCCCAAGAGATAGAACGTTTTCGTCGCCATGATGTAAATGTAGGTATTCGCAATGCCTTGGAGTGCAGACAGCCGCTTATGCCTGACAACAATGACAGGAAGTTGTTCTGGTGATATACCTGCCTCCTCACGGTACTGCCCTAGGGAGGTATCTACCTAGGTACCTAGGCACCTACCTCTCAGCTGTTCCTTTGGAGAGCTCTACGCAATATCTGCAATCAATAGCCCCATGACGACAAGCCGAGGCATCTCAACCTGCAGTGGACCGCATCCCACCTTCGGCGAGTTCTCCCATCACACAAGCACACACCCAATATGCAGTGAAATCAAACGGCGCGAGGATGGTGGCGACGGACCGTTGTCTAGCGCATGAGAAGGCCCCATCGAAGGCCACATCGAAACCAGGTTTGGCCCGGCAGTTGGCGATCGGCGGGACCCAGCATCAAACGGGCCGCTCCACCCATACTCTTTGATGCAACCACTGGGAACGGATGCCACCCATCATTTCATCATCGTACTGATTCCACAGCGCAAATTTCTTCACCTTGCCCCCCTGAGAGTCTGTTTGATAACCCTGACAGCAACGGCAACGGCTGGCCGTGCGATCCGGCGCCTCGGCTTGCTTCCGAAACCTCAATGCCCTGTCGGAGATTGAGTCCCATCAGCCGCCCGGTAAGGGCCGATGGCAACGCTACGGAGATTCCGTTTGGCGAGTCTCGAGGCTTGTATTACTGTGTAGGGGGGGGCGGGGGGGCATGATCTGCATTTCGGCCGAGTCAAACTTGGCCGCGCGCTTGACCACTTGTGACTACGAACCTCGGCACGCTCAATAGAAGGGGGGTTGTTCTTCGACATGGACCCTTGGCCTGTCCTTGGAAGCGACGGCGACTTTTTGTGGCGGCACATTATGTGAGGGTGCGAGTTTGTATATGATCGGACGTGGGACATGGCGAGATGGCACATCTCAACGTCACCAACCTCCCTTGACTTGCAAATATCTGACATGGCAGATGTGCAAGAGTTTACGGCCAAAGAGGTCGCTGCTCATAACACCCGCGATGATTGTTGGATGATTATCCAAGGTCAAGGTATGTGTTACCTTTCCCCAACTGGCTTCACATCTCTAGCTCAAGTCTGTGAGCACTGACTGACCCTCCCTAGTCTACGATGTCACCAAGTACATCCACGACCATCCTGGAGGCGCAGATGTGCTCATTGACGCCGCTGGTCAGGATGCTACGGTAGAGTTCGATAACGCAGGCCACTCTGAAGATGCCTTTGAGATCATGGCTGAATACCACCTTGGCAAATACAAGGGCATGCCCACACGAAATGCACCCAAGCCCGTCATCCTCAAGCCCCAGGCTGCCCTGCCGACGGCCAGCTCAGCCCGAAGCCTGGCGTCCAAGACCGCCGGCGCTCTTGCCATCCTGTCACTGGGAGCAGCTGTTGCGTACCAGGCCTCCTCCCGCCTTCATGTCCCGAGCGCGCTATTACTTCCTAAGCTCCGTCTCCGCCGTCCAACAGAATTGGGCTTCATCGAGGGCTTTGCCGTGGCCACTGCCGTTTTCGCCGTTGCTGGCGCTGTGGTCAGCAAGAAGCTCGCTGCGCTCCTTCACTTCGAGGAGGCCGGTTTCATGCGTTATGCGCCGCACAAGAAGATTCCCAGAATCGCCAAACCAAACCCCCTCCTCCAGCGCGGCTGGCTCGACTCAACCAACTACGCGCCCCTGCCACTCGTAGCCAAGGAGCTTCTCGCACCCTCCGTCTACCGCCTCGCCTTCGCCCTGCCGACCAGCAAGACGGCCCTTGGTCTGCCCATTGGCCAGCACGTCGCCATCAAGGCCGAGATCGATGGCAAGGTCGTCTCGCGGTCCTACACACCCACATCAAACAATGCCGACCTTGGCACCCTCGAGCTCGTTGTGCGATGCTACCCCGACGGCGCGCTGACGGGCCGCTACCTCGCCCACCTGCAGGTCGGCGACGAGGTCCTCTTCCGCGGGCCCAAGGGTGCCATGCGCTACCGCCGCGGCATGTGCCGCAGGATCGGCATGGTCGCCGGCGGCACAGGCATCACGCCCATGTTCCAGCTCGTGCGCGCCGTGTGCGAGGACGACAGCGACACGACCGAGATCAGCCTAGTCTATGCGAACCGCTCCGAGGGCGATATTCTGCTGCGTCGCGAGCTTGAGGCCTATGCGCGCCGCTACCCGGCCAACCTGAAGCTGCACTACCTCGTTGACAAGGCCGAGGACGGCTGGCAGTTTGGCACCGGCTTTGTGACCAAGGACGTCATACGGGAGAGGCTGCCGGCGCCGGCGCCGGATGCCAAGATTTTGCTGTGTGGGCCCCCCGGCATGGTGACCGCTGCAAAGACGGCACTTGTCGAGCTCGGATTCGAGAAGCCGGGGGCGTCGGCGAAGATGACCGATCAGGTGTTTTGCTTCTAGATGGCAGACACGTCTGGAGCTCTCGAGAGGAGATGCAGCTGAAATCAGCAGAGGAGTCCTACGGACCAGCCGTATAGAACGATGGACGCGATCGCTGGGCAAGCGCTCGAATGTACAATACCACATTTTACGCCGTAACGAAACCCTACGTTGGGTTGTTATCTTTTTCTTAGATGGCACCTCTTCCGCTAGTTATTTGGTCGCATAGAAGACGGGGCAGTCTTTATTTGCAGTTTGTCTAATATGCAGAACGCTCCCTTGTGTTTGTTCCAACTGCACAAAACTCTATTGTCCCTAAGCCTTCCATTGAATCAGCTCTAAAACATGATGTTGGAGGTTTAGCTGCCGTTAAAGGTCTAGCTAAACCCAGCATCGGCTAAAATGGCTCCCTTGGGATCCACACAGCACGTCAGGATATCGCCACCAAAACTCTGTGGAGTTGACCGCAAAGACAACCTTTGAATGCTTTCGTGTCGCGAACTTCATCATTATCTGACACAGGGGGAAACGACGTATGCCCGTTGCGTCTATCTCAGCAGACGATCGGCGTCATGGTCTAGAGGTATGATTCTTGCTTTGGGATACCTCAAACTTGCAAGAGGTCCCGGGTTCAATCCCCGGTGACGCCCCAAAGTTTTGGTCAGGGCGTGGCCTGTTTGCGTGTGTCTAACACGATGTTGATTCCCAAGGAGATCGAGTTGACAGCCGACCGAGACCTTCGCAATGGTGTTAAGAACCATGGGTTGGGGATAACTGAAACGATCCATAGCCCAGCGCGATCGCCCTTGCAAGTTGGCGATACCAGGAAACAATAGCACCACAAAGAAAAAAAGAATCCCACAGCACATGCGGCTAGTGCTTTTTTCTGACACTTCAATTGGGAGCTTCGGGTTCGTCAAGCCATTGCAACTCGTGTCGTGTGTGCCAGCAGATCACGACGTGATTCTTCTTTAGTAGCCGACACTCATCCGTCAGAGTAATGAAGGGTATTGATCATGTTGGTTTGCCGAAGACATGAGGAGTTTTCCCAACATTCAGTCAACAATACATCCACCCAACAGCCCCCAGAGCCCTGATCCATTCATCTCGTCTGGAGAGTTACTCTTTGAGTTGGTCTACTACTGAGGCAAACGTGAGGCAGTTTGACGGGCCATTTCTGTAGCCATTTTCAATGGCGAGGCACTGTGTACATTTCGTCGCTTCTCATATAGAACTAACCACTCCATCCTGATCCTTCGCCAAAAAATGATACTCTTCGATTGACAATCTCCCAAAGAAGGGATCATGAAGCTTCTTCGTCGCTTTTCGTCAAGCGAGGTGTGTCTCACAACGTCCCCCTGAAGATCCAAAATATCGCCAACTCTTAGAACGTAGTCTTTTTAGGCCAAAGACTTAGGAAACCTCCTGCCTACCTATTCTCCTGCCTGCCTAAGTGCTATCTCCTTCCCTCTGGCCCTCCTATGCCTGCTTCCGCCTGACGCGTTGTGATTCACACAACGTTTGTTGTTGCAGGCACGCGGGCGGCCACCCCAAGGCACCTATTTAATTCCTCCCACAGGCACCTAAACCTGATCCTTGCTTCCACATCCCACCCCGCAACCAACTCTCACCCATCCATCCACCTTCAGCCTCCAGCTCTACAGCTTCCCTCTCATATCTCCCAAACCATCCAAGCAAGGTACGTTGATCAAATCGGGCATTTCTGACGTCTCTGCTTGTTCCTGTTATGCTCCCACTTGATATCAATCTTTCTCCCATGCCAGCCCAACTTCCTTCATCTGCCTACGCTTTTTGCTCAACTCCTGCCCCCTTCTTCGTTGAAACCTCCACCACAACGCCACCTACCACTTACATACTGACCATACTGTCATAAATAGAACTCACTCAGAACCGACTCTCTAAGTTCTAGTCTAGCAACTACAACGCAATCTACAAAAGAACTGCTTCATATCACAATGAGCAGTTCGCAGAGGAGCAGCCCCAAGAAGGGCAGCTCGCCGACGCGGTCTCGTTCAGGATCACAGTCGGGCAAGCCGAACTTCCCGCCGCCCCTCGGATATGACCCTGCCAAGCCCGCTGCGAAGCCTGAGCAGGACCGGGGAAACACTCGTCTAGACCTCCCCCCCGAGGCCTACATGAGCGCCGAGCGCCTCAAGGTACGCTTGCTCTGACCGACCTTCCTCCTTGACGCGTAGCTGACCCATCCTTTCAGAATCCAGGATTTCAGCCGTTCGCCAAACGCCCTGGCTTCAACAAGACCCGCACCGCCCCGCCCCTCTCGAGATCAACCAGTTCAAGGTTGCCTCGTGGTCCACTGATTGTCGGATTTACCAGTTCGACATCAGCATCTCGCCCATTCCCCTCAAGCAGGGTCCTGTTTTCAAGAAGTGCTGGGCGCACCCAGACGTCCGCAAACGTCTGGAACGATACAAGACGCGGTGGCTGTGCGATGGACGGAAGTTGGCCTGGTTTGTTCTGATCTTCATCCGCAGCTTTTCTGTCAGACAATGCTAATCGATTACAGGGGCGCTTGCCCGATCGAACGCGGCGAAGAACGTATCACTGTCGACCTCGACAGCCACCTGCCGCCCCGTGCTGACGGGAAACCCCGCCGGGACAATACTTTCTATTTCATTATTCGACAGACAGCGCAGATCGATCTCTCCCATCTGGATGCTTATCTCAGCGGCAAAACGGACTGGACCAACAAGGTGCTTGAATGCATGAACTTTCTCGATCATGTTGTTCGACAATTCCCGTCAGAGCACCTCCTTCAGATCAAGCGGAATTTCTACGCCCGCCAGCCTTCCAAGGCCATGGTCTTTCCAATCAGTGATGTTGTGGAACTCATCAAGGGCGTTTACGCCTCGATTCGCATGAATCAGAGCGGCCGCGGCATCGGCCTCAACGTCGACGTGGCCAACACCGCCTTCTGGGTTGGGGGGCAGAACATGGCGACGTTCATCAAGAACTACCTCTGGTCTGTTGTGGCCCAGTTTCGCGGAAAAGACTTGAACACCTTGGCAAACGAGATGAGACCCATGGAGCGCCGCACCACGGACGGAAACAAAATGTACGGCATGTCTGAAGGGTTCAGGCACCTGCGCCGCCTGTCTAAGCTGCGCTTCCGCGTTCAGCATCGTGGAAAAGAGCAGAACACCATAGACTATACCATCATGGCGTTCGAGTTTGCTGAGAAGTATGGGCCTGATGGCGCCACACCTAAGAATGTCAAAATCAATGACAAGGATGGCAAGGAAATCTCGCTTCACGATTACTTCGTCACCAGGTACAACTTCAGAACCCAGTACCCGAATTGGCCAATGGTTCTCACGGCCAAAGCGGGCTTGTTTCCCATCGATGCTTGCACCATTGCACCAATGCAGCGCTACCCATACAAACTGCTTGGAGACGAAACTGCGAACATGATCAAGGGGGCTGTCACTCGCCCCGACAAGCGCAAGGCGGACATCATGCAGGCTAAGAACATGTTGGGCTGGAGCAACGATCCATACCTTCGGCAATTTGGCCTGAAATTTGACGAGAACTTCACAAGGACCGAGGGGCGACTTCTGCCCAATCCTGTCATACAGTTTGCCAATGGGAACATTGACCCGAAGACCTCTGGTCGTTGGGATCTCCGCGGCAAGAAGTTCTGGCTCCCAAACGTTATGCCACTAGATTCCTGGGGTTTCATGATCATTGAAAACTCTTGCTCGAAGCAACATGCGTCGGCCTTCGCTGCTACCTTCAGGCAGACATACATCGGGCATGGTGGCATCATCAAAGGCGACCCGGTCATTATCGACTCCCAAGCCAGGAACCCCAACTCTGCTAACGCTGTGGACAACGGCATTGGGGAGATTCGTCGAAAGACTGGCAAGCCAGTCCAGATGCTGTTCGTCATCATCCGCCACGCTAATTCGGGGAACTATGAGAGGGTCAAGAAGTCTGCCGACTGCCGCTTTGGTGTTTTGACCCAAGTTGTCCTCTCACGCCACGTTGAAAAGAATCAAGGTCAATATCACTCGAACGTGGCCATGAAGGTCAACGCCAAGCTTGGCGGCACGACCTGCCGCGTTCCTCACCCAAATGCGAAGGCACCGAGGGGCCAACCGCCGTTCTTTTCTGAACCAACGATGATCATGGGCCTGGACGTGTCTCACGCGGGTGCGGGCATCAATTCTCCCTCTATGGCTGCAATGACAATGTCGATGGACAAGGACGCTTGTCGTTACGCGGCCGTATGTCAAACCAACGGCTACCGTGTCGAGATGCTGTCACCATCCAACACTAACGAGATGCTCACGAAACTCGTTCGGCTGTGGATGACAAAGCTTGGATCTACCGATCCCCCACGCCATATCTATTTCTTCAGGGATGGCGTCTCTGAGGGACAGTTTTCCCAGGTCATCGACATTGAGCTTGCAGCTATCAAGGCCTTCTTTCGGGAGAAGTTTGGCCACAAAATGCCCAAGTTCACTGTCATTATCGCTACAAAACGCCATCACATTCGGTTCTTCCCCGCAAGGGGCAAAGGAGACAAGAACAACAACCCCCATCCAGGCACACTTCTGGAAAACGAGGTTTGCCATCCTTTCCAATGGGACTTCTACCTGTGCGCACACAGCGCTATTCAAGGCACCGCTCGCCCTGTCCACTATCATGTGCTCATTGACGAGGCCAAAGTGGATCATCAGAAGCTTCAGCAGATGATCTACCAGCACTCGTATCAGTACGCTCGCAGCACCACCCCGGTTTCACTGCATCCCGCTGTCTACTACGCCGACCTGGCTGCCGGCCGTGCTCGTGCTCACGAGTCGGTCGCCACGAGCGACGGTTTCCGGGCCGGACCCAAGGGCCAGGAGATGGCTCAGGGCTTTGGTATGCATGAGGTCTCGATGGGTGGACCTGAGCGCGGCGCCGAGGCGGCTCCGCTGATCCCCATGGGTGGAAACGATGCGCTCGAGGTGAACCGCAACTTCATCCGGTCCACCATGTGGTACATTTGAGGCGACTTCTCTTCTTGGGAAGTATTGAGCAGGTCCATTGTGCCTGAACGGAGGTCCTTGAGGATGACATTAATGCGCGCGACTGATTCAAGGGATTTGAAGGCGTTTCGACGATATGCATGATCGGCCAGAGGAAGCATAATCATGAGGCGTCGAAAAAGGAACGATTGCAGAGAGGGCAGGCGAGAGAAATATGAACGGGTGGACAAGGAATCTGCACAGGGACGGATCCCCTTGATAAGTCATCTTTTACCGATGGAGATGCAGTGGGCGGATGCGGTGAGGCAGAAGCCGGCAGCACGACAGAGGTAGTTCAATCTAAAAAGTTTCACACTCATGAATATGCAACCAAATTTAATGCAGGATCAGCGTATCTTGGAGATGGTGATGGTGGTAGATTTAATCGCTTTACATGGAAATGCGTCGTACGTAAAAAGGCAAGAAACGGTCTATCAGGATATCTAGCGCATCCACGTCTCAACTGTGGTGGTCGACTAACGCCCGCTCCACCCTCTTTCCGACTCCGATGCTCCAGACGTCAACCTTGCGATGCCACAGATTCGTAAGATACAAAGTAACACTCAGCAGCACGACGTAGCCAATGGCATAACCGCCGGCCCTGCCGAACCTGTCGAACAGGCGCGGCATGATCCAGAACCCGAGGCTGTGCAGGACAGGTCCGTGGACGAGGTAGAGGGAGAAGCTGACGCGACCGAGGTACTGCGGCAGGCGGGACTCGAGGAGGCGGCGCAGAAGCGGGCTGCGCAGGATGCACCAGAGCAGCAGCAGGGCGCCGAGGGACTGGTAGACCATCCAGCCGGCGAGGGGCACGTAGTAGCGCGGCACCCAGGTGGACATGTACTGGAAGCCCGGCGTGTACTCGGCGGCCGCGTCGGGGTACGAGAGGAGGTAGAGGGAGGCGAGGACGGCGAGCCAGCGAAGGGCGCGTTTGCTGCCGGTAGATTGCTGCAGGTGGTGGTGGTGCTGCGCGTGTCGTGATAATGGAAGGCGGGTGTCCGCTGCGCGTATGTCGAGCTCTGACATCAGGGTGCCGCCGAGGAGGGTGGCCATGTCCCAGCGGCCCATCTGGAGGCAGTAGGCTGTGAGGGCCGCGGCCAGGGCGTGACGGGCTTTGGGTTTGAAGGCCGCCGTGGCGAGGAGGAAGACGTACACGAACATCGAGCCGCGAAGTTCCATTGGGATGGTGAAGGTGTGGGGGTCGTAGCGGGGGTGGTAGTGGCCGAAGTTGAAGGGGTTGGCCCACTCTGCGTAGGCGCGAGTGAAGTTCTGAATGGCGTAGGTCATGTTGTCATGGATGAAGGGGTGCTCCTCCCATGAACCGCCTAATTGGACCCATGTGGCGGGCTCAGAGACGTTGGTAATGTTGGTGAGATCGATGGGGGCTGGGTTAAAGTAGGGGGCCACCCAGGGGAAGGGGGCCAGAGACTCGACAGCGCGGGAGATGTTGAGGGCGTCGAGTTCTTCGAGGGGGGCACGGCGGTAGACGGTAGAGGGGCCAACGTTCTTGGAGGTCGCGTTGAGACAGATTGTGTCGGTCCAGGTGGTGAGGTTGCCAAGGTACAGCGAATTCTGCAGATGCAAGAACTCAGCGACGCCGTCAGCGCCTGTGACGGGGTGCGTCATGTTGGCGCACGGAACCTTGAGCGTGGGTATACTGGCCATGGTCACGGTGCCGTTGATGTAGACTGAGTCGCGTCCCTTGTATACTGCGTCCTCTGAGCGGAAAACACCGACCTGGGCGAGCATGGCGACGATGAACATGCTGATGGTAGGTGGGATGTAGAGGCGGAAAACACGGCGGAAAACGGCTGAAGCGATGCTTTGGTACGCGGCTTCGATGCGGCGCTCGTGAATTGATCGGAGGATATGGCGGCACACGACGTAGCCTGAGATGGCAAAGAAGATGGCGACCATGGGGTGGCCGCGATGAAGCAGGCAAACGATGGGCAGTGTGGCCCATGATGTGTACGGCTCTGGCGAGTGAGGCGGCATCGCACCGTACCCCAGCATGATGAGAGGTGTCCATGGCCACAGGAAGTGGTAGTTGAAGACGAGCAGACATGCGATTCCCCGCAAGCCGTCGAGGCTTCGGATCTTGTCGCTGGCGTTCCTCATGGCACCGGGGACGGCGTTTGATGGTTTCTCGTGGTCATCCAGTGACGCATTGGCATTGCTGATATTGCGATTGTGAGTTGGCCAAGGCAGTGACGACTCCGGCCCGTCAGGCGCCTGTGCATGTGAGGGCTCATCCCGATCGCTTGAGGGCATGGTGCCTCGTGGAATGTGGTCGTCGTGGATGGTATTCGTCCCGCATGCGATGCGCTTCTCGATGCTATTTTTATATCAGGTCGAATGAAGCTCGACAAGACGATGCAAAATCGTCGCAGGAAGGAATGGTTCAGCGTCAGCGACATGAGCTCCAAAAGCTACGCCAGCGGCAGTAGCAACTTACCAGCAGCAGATACTACGGCAGCAGCAAACGGCATGGCCCCTGCCGAGCTGAAACATAGTGGGGGGTACGACGCTTACCTAAGTCGCACGGAACCAGGCAGCAGAGGGGCAGGGCAGTTGGTAATGACGTATAGCATCGCTCCTACCGACTCAGGGTCTGTCCGTGTCACTCCAAAAGGTTTCCAACCCCTGACCCCCACCAGTCGCGACGTTGATTTCACTTCGCCGCTCGTCATCTTAGGCCCCACGGCTCGGCACGTCGACACCTCACCAGGTTGTCGGGGCCAAGTTGACGAGGGAGAGACTTTTGTGACCTAGAGGATTGAACCAGTACTCCACGATACTGATGCGGACGGTCGCTGCCAGTTCGGTACGCGGGATGCCTGCTCTGCTGTCGAAAATGCTGATGTAGTATCCAAAGCCTGTCGTCTACATGGTGCTCAAGTTGACGTTCCGCAAAGCTTCAGATTTACCCCTTCGCTGAATTATTTCACACAAACCTTGTTACCCGATCGCCGTTGTCTTGACAGCGACTGAGGCATTGTTCTCGACAGTCCCATGTACCTCAACCAGTCCTCTAACTAGTGTTTTTGTGTCTGAGCGCGACTCTCATCGCCAGCGGTTTGCTTCCGACCAGCCGATGTCTCGACTGCTTCATGGCAGATCCCGAGGACAGCTCGAATTTTTCGTAGTCTGGTGTTCTATGGCGTGAGCTTAACTTTGTGCGTCGACCCCGAATCCTTCAATGCAGTCGTCATCAGTAACGGGTTTTCCCACGGTGAGGAGCTCGAAGGAGCAGCCGCCCCCAAAAGAATGTACTGCACCAAGCTGTGGGTCTGCTCGGCAGGACAAGCCGTACAAGAGCTTTGACAACAGTAAGTGACACGCAAAATGTATACTCATCTAAGCCAATCCCTGGGGTCATTTCAGAATGGGAAGAAGAAACCTAAGGTAGGTGGCATTAATCGTGGTACAGTAATATATGAGCACATATGATGAAATGCACAAATTTTGGACGTCAGGCTCTGCATGTTGGTCTCATTGCCTTCGTGCGTACAATATGGATGATGCTAAGGTCAGGGCACGGCTGTCACGGACCGGGCTCATGTGGCCGACAGACCAACTTATGTTACAACGGACGGAAAGCTTCTGGAACATTGGAACATCAAAAGGAGGCCTGGGGCATGCTCGGCGAAGCAGAGAATCTCCACCAAACCCAGCCACAAGATATTGTCGGCTCCTTTTTGAGCGAAGAGCTCATTCAGCAAGCAGCGGGGGACACCCTGGTATTCGAACCATACATATCACTTCCGTATCACTTCCGAGGCTTGGATCCCAGTGTCACTCGGCCGATAAATTTGCGTGGCTGAGCACCTCAAGGAACTGGTCTGTGATTGATGGAGTTACGGAAATGAGGTAGTACTCTTGGGCTTCACTGCGTCCGCTGACCGGCCGGAGAAACAGAATTGACGACAATCGATGGGCGTCACGTGCTGCAAGGCCCGCAATACGCCCGATTCAGAAGATGCCTTTTATGGGGCTGGACAGACACAGCCCCGCCCTGTAGGACCACAGGTTTTCATGGTACTGATCAAGTCTGTGTGAAGGATGGACAACGAACGGCACCAAGAAACCTCTGCCCAAATCATGCTGCAAATACACTGAGTGCCGCCTGACCACACCGAGGCCCACCGAGTAGTGTCGAGTGTTTCTCAAATCACATGACGCTTTGGCCCCATCAGGCGACGCCAGATCGTCGCCCGTCAGCAACCTGCGCGATTGTTCCGTCATGGTCGGCTCCGAAACTCCCATTTTCACAGCCACGCCAAGGCGATCTGTTCCGCGAGAGGCGTTGATAGCTCCCCGGGTGGACTGTTGCGGGGGAAGCTTGCCGATCTAGGGGCGGTCACTCCGATGCACCTTGCGCTCAGCCTTTTTCTACCAACAGACGATCCTCCATCAGTCACGCGTTGCTGCTTTCGGACCCATATTGTACACCTGGTCGGCCGAACAGTTGCTGGTCGTCCAGTCACCGGCCGGCGATGAGCCAACATCCACCGCAGGACACGTTGCTCCCTGGCGCGAGTCTCTTTTTCGATCTGCGATGCCTATCTTGCCGATGACGCGCATCCACTGCATGGAAGGATGCACAGAAGGTTGGAAGAAGCCAAGGCAACAACGACGAGACGGCGTGGAAAGCTAAACTGGCGCCAGTCAGAAGCCGCGGCGGAACGTTTGGTCGACGCCTGTGAAGCTCTCCCGACAAGGGCAGGGGTCGCTTTCCGACCTGGGATGTGTCAGCGCACTTGACGGCGGTCGAACTTCAGTAGTCCCCAGCGCATCAGCAATTGACTTCGTCGAACGATGATTCGGGTC